GGGATCGAACCCGAGTCGGCCGCATGCAAGGCAAACGCCCTACTAACAATTATTACTACTTATATTTTCAGCATTAAAAATGACTGTATTACATTACCTAATAACACAGGCTAATACTGGAAGGATCCAAAGGATCCAAAGTTTTTTTTCTCTCTCCTTCTCCAACCCCCAGATAATTCCTGAACTTTTTCTCCAAAAAAATATTTCTAATGAGTCAAACAAGATACACAAGAGATAGCTAAAAACTTTACAATGAAAGACAATATCGATTTGTGACCATCATCTTGCAAATGGTGTTTCCATTTCATGGACAAGTTTCATGAGTCAACCTACTGTAGAACCTACTATCTACTATCTATGCATAACCCTTTCCAAATAGATATTTTTATGTCAAAATTCAATTGCTAATATTAAGGTATTAAGAATTGAATACTGATATGGACCCTAGAAAGTGCAAACAAGTGTTCTCAGAAGATTCTAGAGTCATCTCCCGTGTGCCTTTACTTGGAAATATCAATTACTGGCAATGGTCATTCCACTCGGTGTATTCTTTAGGTCTGTTCTTAGTCTCAGATTTGAATTAATGTTTCCTTACAGTCAATACAAATTACTATTACTAACTAGACTCATCCAAAAGAAAATGTAGATGGTAACTCCACAAAGCAGTCATTTTTGCTGGAAAACAGGATACTCCAAGTAATGTCTTATCTATGGTGTAGTTGATTTCATGTTAACTAAATTGATAGCACTGATTCTCCAAATGAATAACAATACAAAATTATTATTTATGTGAAGGGGGAAATGTAGTAAGAATCCAGGAAGAATGATCCTAATTTATCAATAGTTCTTACTTTCTGATGTAAGATCTGTGAGATCATCACACTCAGCTCCTGGGAGAGAACAAGGCAGAGTCTCCTACCCTATGCCTGACTGTCTCCACCAGGGCCCAACAGCTGAAGACCACCGAGGCCCAGCCAAGGCCATGCTGGGACCACTCTCCACACACTTGGATGAGCCTCACGCATAAAAGAACTGACAGAGGAACCCAGGTGTGTGGGACCCGGGGCTGAGATCTCCAAGCCTGCACAGTTTGGGACTGGACCTGCCAGTAACTAGACAGTTACACCCACCAACTGCCGTGTAACTCCAACAACGGCCAGGATCCAGAGATCATCACACTCAGCTCCTGGGAGAGAACAAGACAGAGTCTCCTACCCTATGCCTGACTGTCTCCACCAGGGCCCAACAGCTGAAGACCACCGAGGCCCAGCCAAGGCCATGCTGAGAGCACTCTCCACACACTTGGATGAGCCTCACGCATAAAAGAACTGACAGAGGAACCCAGGTGTGTGGGACCCGGGGCTGAGATCTCCAAGCCTGCACAGTTTGGGACTGGACCTGCCAGTAACTAGACAGTTACACCCACCAACTGCCGTGTAACTCCAACAACGGCCAGGATCCAGAGATTATCACACTCAGCTCCCGGACATCTTATCATCTCATTCCTAATTTGGTCAAACTGGCAGGCTACCAAATGTAACATGCCCACACGGCAGAGTCTGGCAAACTCCCCGTGGTATACCCAATATGCCAAATACCAGTAACAATGATTGATCTCTTTCTCCTAACCCTGAAAAAACCTTGAATATGACACTTTAAAAAAAAAATCTCAGGGCTAGGACGAAGAAGACGTTACTGGCACCTGCTCGAGGCAATTGACGAACAACAGGGTGGTCGTGATCGTGATCGTGATCTTACTTTCTGGCTACTCTGATAAGTTGAATACAGAATGACATTAAAGGGTCATGAAAATATATGATCAATCTTTATATTGAGGATGCGGTGATCAGATAATGAAATCAAAGCATAGTTAGGAACTTTTGATCCATCAGTTAAAATGATGTATCAAACCTTTCTTCACATTTTCAACCATTCTAAAAAAGCATTTTTATGCTATAATTTAAAAGATGAGTTTCATAGCAAGTTACTACCAGGTATTCTGAACTAAAGAGACATTCCCTAAATTTAATTAAATGACTTTCATAAGCAACAAAAATTCTCAGTGATATAAACTTCTATCTTCACGTTAAAAAATTCAAAGCAAAAAATATATGTAGACAAAACAGTGAGCTATGTGCTGCAGCTTATTGACGAAGCAGAAAAATTAAAAGCTTACAAAAGAAAGTGGGATGGGATTTTAATTAAGAAAAATCTTAATGCCAGCCTAAAGCGGTGTGAAAAATCTGAATAAAACATGGCTACTGTAATTGGCCCAGGTTGCTTTCTTTAAGAAGTATTTCTAATTCTGAAGCTGCTATGTGCAAGCACACGTGATGTAGAAAGGGTTGCCATGGTAAGCACACATCTTTTCTTGGACAGTCAAGTACAAAAAAGAATGTATAAAGATGTCTCACCTCATAATATGTCATGAAAATTGACTCTGCTTTCTTTTCCATGACATATTCAGTATGATGCAATGCAGCATAGGACAGAAATAGCCCACAGTTAAAAAAAAAAAACTCCAGCCCATGAAAGGGGCTTACAAAAACAAAGAGTGAAAAATGCAATACCTCTCCAAGGCAAGTAACTGATGAATATTGAATGTCAAACTCTCCCACCATTCAGTGAATAGAGGGCACCTGGCCCCCAGGGGGCCTGAGACAGCACCCTAGGAGGGCAAAGACAGTCCCTGCTAAACAGCACCCTTAAGCCTTAAGTACTTCAGTCCTTTGCTTCTAGTGCTCAAGGAAAGAGAAAAATCATTCCTACACCAATACACCCACATACACCCAGCTTTCCTCTAAGATCCATGGTTTCTAAGCAGAGAGAGAGAGAGAGAGAGAGAGAGAGAGAGAGAGAGAGAGAGAGAGAGAGAGCAATGGGGTAGTTCTTTTGGAGTCTGTAATGGGGTAGTTCTTTTGGAGTCTGTAAAATCAGCCCGCGACATCTGGAAGCATGCGTGACACTGGCGCTGGTGAGGTGGCAGAATCTGTCGCGAGCCGCAGCAGGTTCCTAGGCGCTGGAGAACCCACGTGTGCCGGGGCTGGAGAACTTTTCCGCCAGGTCTCCCGAGGGAATGCTCGCTTTCAAATAGGTGGGCAGTACGGAGGGGGATGCGGGCTGGTGGGCGATCAAAGAGCCCAGGTGGGCAGCCTTCCAGAGGTTTCCTGCCTATTTGCATTCTCACCCCGGGGCAACTTTCTTCCCCCCCCCCTCCACCCCTTTCCTTCTAACCGGGGTGGGGGTGGGGGGCAAGCAGCCAGGGATGCTGAGCATCTAATAGGCTGAGCCTGGAACAAAGAAAATCGAGTTCCTAACACGGTATCTCTCCCGTTGGAGAGATCACGTGTCCTGCTTTCGCTGGAATGCACGCCTGGCGCCCACGCGCTAAAAAAAAAAAAAAAAAAAAAAAAAAAATCTCTATTGTGCTTAGAAATGTGGCCGAGGGGTTCGCGAGAGACGCACGCGTGCCCCCCGGCCTTCGCTCCGGCGCGCGCGGGGGACCCCGCTGCAGCGCCCGCCGCACCGGCCGGTCCGCGCCCGGCGTGCTGACCCAGTTCCCAGCGAAGGTGAAGTGGGAAAGTGCCGGGGAGCGCGGGCTGGAGCCCCGGGACGGCCGGGCCCCTCCCCCTCCCGCCCCCTCCCCACCCCCCCAGCCCCGTCCCCGGGAGAGGGAACTTCGCACGGATCGTGGGAGTCGCCGCAGATGGCTCCTCTCGGCGGCCCCTTCCCACGACGCGCGAGGGACCCTCTTCCCTCGCTCCGCCTCGCAGCCCGCCCGCTCGCAGGGAACAGGCAGCGCGCGGGGGCGGGTCCTGGATCCAGCCAGCCCTGATGGCCAAGAAGTAGTGTCAGGAAGCAATGTTTGCAGCCATCTCCAGGAGGAGGAGGAGGAGGAGGAGGAGGAGGAGGAGGAGGTCGCGGGGGGGGGGTTTCTTTCCTTTTTTGTGCGTGCACTCAAAGCCATCTGCACAGACCCCTTTTCCCTCCCGCGCTGGACCCTGCAAACGCAAAGCCTCCAGCCCCTGGGGGAAGCCGATCTAACTGTGCACCAGCGAGGGGGCCATGATTCCTGACAGCTTCACGTGCTTCCCTCTTTCCTCGCCATCCGGGAGCCCAAACTAGCCCGGGCAACCTGCAGGACGCTGCCAGGGGCCGGCCAGGTGCCCGGAATGCCCGGGCCGGGCGCTGGGATGGGGGAAACCGCGCCGGGGCACCCGCTTCGCCAGCTACACAAAGGGGCTGTGTGGGCAGGAGTTGCCAGGCTCTGGGAAGGGGCTGCCTTCCCCCGACCTCCAGGGCAGGCTGGCACCCCGCGATCCAACCCTGACTCCCCACCCACCCACCCATTTGGCCCGTGACCTCCAGCTCGGTCTACTCCTTCATCTTCTCCCAGTGCGCCCCCAGCCTCTCGTTTTCCCTGAGCGCCCCCCACCCCGCCGTGCCTTAAGGAGCGTCGAACTGCATCCCCCCGCCCCCCCCACCCAACCTGACATGCCAGGCGCATACTACACCTTCCAAGACACCCAGGCGAGTCGCTACAAGTGTGCGTGTGTGTGCGTGTCTCGGTGCCACGATCCAACAAGCGCTTCAAACACCTCCAGGGGGGAAACCCCCCTGAAGAGATCCCCTAGTTCCTACGGGAGCAGCCGAGCCCACCCCGGCCTGCACAGGGTCGGGGCACGGAGCCCCCCGACTCCCTCCCTCCCCCTCGCCTTTAAGCCCAGGGATGCTCGCGTGCATCCCCCCACCCCACCCCCGCCCGCCCCATCTCCAGGACGCCCCACGACCGACCCGACCCCGCTGCGTCCCGCGGGCCACGACGGGAGCCACCCCCACCCCCAGACACCCACACACACTCCCACGATCCCCTCCCCCCACGATCCCCCACCCACCAGCCTCGCGCTCCCCCGCCCTCCGCGAGGGTCCCACGCCTCGGGCGCTCCCGGTCCCCGCAGCCCCCACCTCTCGGGGCCACCCTGCACCCGGGTCCAACTCACATCGCCGGCGGGAGACGCTGCCCATGAGGTTCGGGAGAGCGAGGCTCGCGCGGCGGCCGCGGGGTATTCCGGAAAGTGAATTGGGGTCCGCAGTGGAGTGGGCGCGGGAGGTCCTCGCGGGCGGCGGCGGCGGCGGCGGCGGTGGGAGGCGGCGGCCGAGGGGATCCCAGGCAGGTGTCGCCGCCTTAGACCATGATGCCGGTGCCCTTGGGTGGACGGCGGGCAGCGGCCGTGGGCAGCCCCGGCCCCCCGCGGCCCCGCGCCGCGCTAGGAACCGCAGCGGCAGCGGCAGCGGCGGCAGCGGTGGCGGCGGCGACAGCGTTGGAGGCGCAGTTCCCTCCCCGCCCCAGGCGGGCTCCACACACAATAAATCCTGGGCGGAGGAGCGGCGAGTCGGGCTGGCAACTCCGGAGCACCCCCTGGCCGCTGCCGCGCCGGGCCGAGGATCCCCGGGGAGCCGGGCGTCGCGGGGGGCGCCGAGGGGGCGCCCGCGGGGGGCGGTGGCGGGGGAGGATGCGGGGCCGGCCGGGGTCCTCCCGGGCGCAGTGCTCGGCGCACAGGTGCCACGATTGGCGGGCGAGGAGGCGCCGCTCGCTCGCGGCTCGGGGCTGTGTCTCCCCGCTCTCCCCGCCCCCTCTCTCTCTCCCTCTCGCTCTCTCTCCCTCGCTCTCTCTCTTTTGCCCACCCCCTTTTCCGACGACACCAGCTGCAGCGGCTTCAAAGTGTGAAAGATGTCAAGGAGATTTTCCGGCGACCGCAGGGGAGGGACCACGTTCCCAGCAACCTCCCTCCGCCCGTTTTCTTTTTTTTTTTTCGGGGGGGGGGTGGGATCTCCTCTCGCGGGTCTCCCCCGATCTCTCCTCCTGCACCCCTGGATGGCAAGCTGCAAGCCCCGGTCCGGAGGAGAGCTCGCCCGTCCCCCGGCAGCGTTGCCCAGAGGCGGGCCCAGGCCGAGCGCGCCCCGAGCTCCGGCAGCGCCTCCTGCAGCGGCTCCGCACCCCGCGGCCCCGCGCGCCTCCTCGGGGTTCCCTCCCCCGCCCGCCTCGCCCGCTGCAGGTTGTTGGCGGCCGCCGAGAAAAGTCTCCCCCGCTCCCCCGCTCCCCCGCTCCCCGGCTCAGCCCGCGACCTTGGGGCCCGCTCGCACCTGCCGGTCTCGGGTTCTGGACCTGGATGGGGGTGACGGGGATGGGGGTGCCCCGCTGGCTTAGGTCTGCACCGCCTTTCCTGCCCTGAGTGCACGCCCTCACCCTCACCGGCTCTCCTCTGCTGGCCAGGAGCACCAGGAAAGCACACACACACACACACACACACACACACACACACACACACACACCCCTCACATTCTCACACTCTGCTGCTTGAGCGAGGGCACGCACACACACACATGCACCTCACATGTTCACACTCACACTCCCTTCCTACACACACACACACACTTGCATTCTCACACTCCTCCTGCTATGAGCACACAGATACCTTTCACATTCTCACACTCACTCTCCTCCCCACACACATACAAACATGCCCTTCACATTCTCACACCCTCTTCTGCACACACACACACACACACACATACACTTCACATTCTCACGCACACACTCTCTCCTCTGCTCATACACACACCCTGTACATTCTCACACTCACACTTTCCTTCTGCACACAAACACACATGCCCTTACCATTCTCACACTCACACTCTCTCCTCCTGCCATGAGCATGCAGACACACACACATACTCATACAACACTCTTTCACACACTCTCTCCTCCTCCTGCCATGAGAGCACAACCTCACACACTCACATAAAAACTCACACTCTCATACTGTCTTCCTGCCTTGAGCACACACCCTTGCGCTCTCACACCCACATCCTCACATTCATACACACACTCACATGCACTCACGCATGCACACACACACACACACACTGAACCTCTCCCCATGAACACATCCCTTACACCCTCACACACACTCTTCTCCTGCCATGAGTGCACACTCTGACTCACACCCTCAGAATCACAAACACACACATACACCATACACACACACAACGCCTCCTTCCCTGAGCACACACACACAGTCACACCCTTGAACTCACACTCAGACGTGACCCCACCTCACCCTGAAGGCACATGTACTTTATTTTCACACTTCTCTTTAGACTTTCATAAGCATCAATCGGTTTTAAAAAACATGTTGAGGAAGCTAGTACTATATTTAGACTTCTCTTGTATTCTCTAAGCCCATCTGCTGAATTCTCTCTCTGAGACTGGATTTGTCTCCCTGGAATCCTTCTCTGATAGACTGTAGCCTACAGGTCTGCCCCATGCTCCATCCTGGTAGGGGTGACGTCATCTAATCCTCCCTACAATCCTAATGCAGCTAGATTGGGTGGGTTCAATTGCCACTTGGGTGGGTGTCAACGGAGGTGAGTAAAAAGAAAATAACTCTTAGATCTGGCACGAAAAAATCTTCAAGGTCAAAACTCATCCTCCTTGCCTGCTAAGGGCGAGACTTTGGAGATAGGTCCTAACAGCAGAGATAAGTCCCCACTTTCTAAGGGCCAGATGATGGGCTGACTTTTAAGGACAACTTCCCAGTGCTTCATATGATTTGAATGTGGAGGGGAAAGAATGAGAGTATATTTTGAAAAGCTGGATCATTTTTAAATGTGTTACAAAACACCATGGAGGAAGTGTTCTGAACTGGCAAGGAGATGAAAGATCCTTTAAAGATCAGTTTTTGAATTGACCTCATGAAGCTCTATTTTTTACCCAGAGTTTGATCTTTGTAAACCTTTATCACATCTCAGTATCTGAGCGGGAGTGATATGACAAAAATTAGTAACCAATTGAAAATCTGCAAAAATAACCTGGCACAACATAATTATACAATCGTAACCGTTCTTTGCAGGTTTCTGCTCTTTTTGCTTCAGTTTACACAGAGTTTTCACATAAAGTCTTTCATTTAATTCTTTCCGAAAACTATTTGCTGAAAAGGCATCTATACACACAGGCATGCAAAGGCTCATCTCGGGAAGACTCCCAGTAACCTTGATGTGAGTGAAGTCAGAATTAAAAATGTATATATATATGTATATATATATATATATATATATTTCTTTGGGATCAGGTATGTATCATATTCACAGACAGACCTGGGGCCACTCCTGACATTGCTCAGGGATGCTCGTTAGTGGTTCTGGGCACCAACTACTCAGTGTCATGAAGTAGGCAAGTAAGTGACTGCAACTTGGTAAATCCGAGTTTGACCTTAAACCCAGAATTATCTCTTTCTTTCTTTCTTTCTTTCTTTCTTTCTTTCTTTCTTTCTTTCTTTCTTCCTTCCTTCCTTCCTTCCTTCCTTCCTTTCTTTCTTTCTTTCTTTCTTTCTCTTTCCTTCCTTTCTTTTGTCCTTTTATTATTATTATTATTATCATTTTTATTGAATCACCATGAAATAAAGCCATAAAACTTTCATGATTGAGTTTCAGTCTTAAAATGATGCAACACCCATACCTTCACCAGTGTACATTTTTCACCACCAGTGTCCCATATTGGTCTTTGGCCTTTCTTTCTTTCTTTCTTTCTTTCTTTCTTTCTTTCTTTCTTTCTTTCTTTCTTTCTTTCTCTCTCTCTCTCTCTTTCTTTCTTCTCTCTCTCTCTCTCTCTCTCTCTCTCTCTCTCTCTCTCTCTCTCTCTCTTACTCATGGCTTGCTCCTGGCTATGTACTCACTCAGCCATCAACTCCTGGAGAGGCTTAGGGATCACATGTGGTGATAGCCTCGACCAACTGTATGCAAGGATGTGCCTTGCTCACTATAGAATCTCTGCAGACCTTGAAGCCACATTTAATTAATTTAAAGCCAAGAAAGAAAGAGAGAAAGAAGGAAAGAAGAAAAGAAAGAAGAAAGAAAGAAAGAAAACAGAGAGAGAAAGAAAAGAGAGAGAGAGAAAGAAAGAAAGAAAGAAAGAAAGAAAGAAAGAAAGAAAGAAAGAAAGAAAGAAAGAGAGAGAAATAAAATCACAGCCAGTTCTGATTTACTGTATATCCTTGGATTGGGCAGCATGCCTGCCAATGAAGTTACCTCTCCTTGTATTAAGTGGAAATCAACTTCCCTCCCTCATCCCTAATGAAAAGAAGTTTGCTCCTCTCCAGTGTAGAGAAAGATAAATTATTTGAATCCCATTTATGAGCTGGTGGTGCTGCTGTAATACACTTTCAATCATATGTCCCCCTTTTCCCCTTTTTCTTATTCTAGAACCTTGATTTCAGGCCATAAAGATCCAAAAAGACAAAAGATTTTAAAGATGTGCAGATGTGATGTAGCGCTTATAGGTTTTAACAAGCAGATTTTAGCATAAAAAAATAAGGAAGAGACGCATTTTCTCCGTAGAATAGACTTTGAATACAAAGGCCCAATTTTTCCCTAAGATTTATGAATCTTGAACAAAATTTGGCCACCTTCACTATCTAAACAACGGAGCATATTGAAGGGGTTTCAATGGTTTCATAGAATTATGGAACTATTGAAATGCAAATGCATATGCTGTCTTTAAATTTCAAGCTGCCCTGTCATCAACCCTCTGGAAATGCAGATGACTCTCTGAAACTTGAAGAAAGGCAAATGCTAAATATTCTTAGACTGTCTTTCAAACAGAGGTTCAACATCCAAAAATCACAATTTAAAATATGAGATCAAGACAGTTGAACAGTTTAGCTGTTCAGATTATTATCTCTGAAGGGTTAAATACTAATTGATAAAAGTAGGCAAGTTGCTAATCAATTCCTTTGATTCACATTACTGTCACTGTCACTGTCCTCCTGTTGTTCATCGATTTGCTCGAGCGGGCCCAGTAACGTCTCCATCATGAGACTTGTTGTTACTGTGTTTGGCATATCGAATGCATCACGGGTAGCTTGCCAGGCTCTGCCGTGTGGGCGAGATACTCTCGGTAGCTTGCCAGGCTCTCTGAGCAGGGCAGAGGAATCGAACTCGGGTCGGCCATGTTGGCAGCTTGTAAGGCAAACACCCTACTGCTGTGCTATGTTTTAAAGGAAAACTCTGTTCAAAGATTAAGCAGAACGAAACTTAGTTGGAAATCAAAGACACAACTTGAAAAATCAGATGCTGAATATCTTCCTAAAAATTCTCCTGGGGGTCTGAAATGTCACCCTTTCCATAAAATCTTTCCTCTTCTGCTAATTCCTGGTTTAAAAATACCATCTATGGAAAACATGACATCTTTAGATTACCATTAATTAATATTTTAATATGATTGTCTTAATTAAGTATTGGTCTTTAGGGATGAATGAAGCATGTTCAGTTTGGTAAATGGAGAGTCTGGTCTGAAGAACTGGTAGAGCTTGGTAGAAGATGATCATTATCAGCGGTTACTTGATCTTGCGGTGTTCTGGCTAACTTCTAAAAAGTGGGGGAAAAGTGCTGAATTGAAAGTAGGGGTCATTAAGGTTAATTCTTCAAATTAATTAATTTTTAGATAGATGGCCTTTCCTACAAAACGAATGTCTCACATTACCAACTGTTTTTAACTAAATAGAATGTTTATCATGACTTTTAATGCATTTGGATAATTAGATTTTATTTTAAAATATCAACTGCT